TTGCTGGGTTTGTCCCTATTTTACCCAGCACTGGGTTGTATTTAACCCAGCATTTTTTAGAGTGTGTGAACTATCCCTTTAATAGTCCTTAAATAGGCCTCATTTTCTTTATGAAAAGAATAATTTTGATTAGTGGCAGAACCAAAGCCCAGGCATGTCTACCGTTTTAGTGAGAATCACCCAAAAACACGTTGAGAAACACTTAGCATCAGGAAGATTTTGGTTGGTTTGGCATTTATAACTCTAAAACATTACTGTGCAAAAGTTGGGGTCAGTAACATTTTTTTTTATAAGCAAATTAATACTTTTATTCAGCAAACACATTAAATGGATACTAAGACATTTCTTTCGAACCTTCTGTTCATCAAAGAATCCTGAAAAATAACATGTACCAGTTAGAAAAAAAAAACGGTTTTCAATCAGAAATGTTTCTGGAGCAGCAGAATATTAGAATGATTTCTGAAGATCATGTGACTCTGAAGACTGGAGTAATGATGCTGAAAATACAGCTTTGGTCACAGGAATAAATTACACTTCAACAGATATTACAATAGAAATTGTTATTTTAAATTGTAATATTTCACATTACTATTTGTATTTTTGTATCAATTAAATGCAACCTTGATGAGCAGGAGAGTTCTGTCAAAATCATTTAAAAATAGACGTACTGAAAAGTAACGCATTACAATCCTGCACTGCATAACCAGCGATGTAACAGCTGCCAAAAACATTACCATAATGCATTTACTAAAAGCTTTGAATTTCAGAATGTGTGTATATTACTGGAGATGAACCGCTCTCCATTAGTATCCCAGAGTTTCACAGGAAACGTCCCACATTACATTCACCTCACTTGACTAGATATCCCAAACACATTTACTGCCCCATTAAGACAAGCACAAATCATTATGACACATATTTTGTCATAAATATTTAATGAGGTCAAGTATGGCTGGGAAAACGCAACAGCTTAGTTTAGAGTGTAACGACGGAACGGCCGATCCAGGCAAGGCTTTTGAGATGCCAGTGGCCAAGAAATCTTCTGGAAAAAAGCAAAGGAGATATCAAACTTCAGTTCCACATCTTTGGCAAGAGGACTGTTTGTGAACGTGAACCAAAAAAATAAAAACACTGACGTCTCGGTTCCCTTGGACGGATCAGCATCAAAAGACAAGCATTTACAAAAGGATAACAGGCAAACATTTCACTAAAAACTACACATTTGTTGACGTCACCAAAAACTCCTCGCGACCGTTTGTGGTTTCCCGAAGCCGTTAAGTGTTTAGCGTTTCTTCTGCAGGTCTAGCCCGAGCTTGAGACGAGGAAAACTACAAATTCTCCTTCCACAACAAAAGAGAGAGAACAAGAGAGAGGTGGTTGCATGGGCTTTAACAAATAAAGACACTTTACAAAAACGAATTCTCAGAGCTCGTCCGCTCCAGTAGCGTCCCGTCCCGTCCCGTGAAAGCTCTGCTGGCTGAAACACGCTCAGTTCGTTTCTCCTTTTGCCTCCTGTTTGTCTTGTAACAGTGGAATGAGGGACTCCCATGCTGCAAGGCACTGTGGGGCAGAAGCAACAGCAGGAAGTCAAGGCCAAAGCCACTTCATCTCAAACACAACTCTGCTTTGACTAGACACATACACTTAGATTTCCTAAATCTATTTCACATGGAAACATCCTGCAGGAGTGACGCACCTAGATTTTGCATTAAAGGGGTCATATGATGCTATTTTAAAGATCATTATTTTGTGTATTTGGTGTAACAGAATATGTTGACATGCTTTAATGTTCAAAAAACACATTATTTTTCAAATACTGTACATTATTGTAGGTCCTCTATGCCCCGCCTCTCTCAAACGCTTCGTTTTCAACAAGCCCCCTCCTTTGACAAGCGCAGTCTGCTCTGATTGGCCAGCTGACCCAGTGCATTGTGATTGGCCGAACACCACAAGCACGCGTCGGAAATGTAACGCCCCTTACCATAATCGCGAGCGTCAGCTTTCAAAGTAAATATCAAGACAGTTAATAATGTCGTTAGTTTTACCATCAGTTCAAGCCCGAAAGGGCAACAGAGTCGTGTGACAGACACAGTGATGATGCAGTACACAAGCCGCGGTTAAGACAGCTGACTCCACTGTGATGTGACCCCCTCTCTCTCTCTCTCAC